TGGGGACAGGGGTTCGGTAGAGGTTAATTTTGCCCTGTGGGATGTTACTGTTTGATGGGTCAGGGAGAAGCAGCCAGGGATGTCCAGATTGCTGTCCATGCCCAGGAATCCTGCAAGGACTTTGCAGCTGATCTGCTCAAAGATGTCACCTGGACAGTATTTTTTCAGCTAGAGGATTATACAGTTGTACAGTGGGATTTTTCAGAGGGGATGGAAAACATTTAGCATCCAAGAACAACTTGCTTGATAGAATGGAGGTTCCAATCAGAGAGCTTTTGATTTCCAGCCCCACTTGCCACTGCTTTACTGGATAACCTTGGGCCAGGTTGGCTTCCTCTTCTAGCCCTCAGATTCCTCAATTTGTAAAACAAAGGGGTGCAGTTGGTCTTTTCTTTTTCACGGTTTTTTTTTTTTTCAGTGGTTTTTGCTTTAGGCAGGAAAAAACTACTGTGTTGTATTAAAAAGTAATGATTACAAGTAAAATTGGCTCGTAATACTGTGTAAGACATTGCTTTTTCTGAAAAGCTGAGGTCTCAATGTATGAAACAGAGAGCTGGGAGTTTCACTGTCCCTGCTTGACCTGCTGGAAACAGAGAGCAGCTGCAGTGAATTCTCCAGAGTCACCCAGGGTGTCCCCAGCTGGTGGCTGGACTGAAGTTGCTGCAGCCTTTCCCTCGGTGCAGAGCAATACTTGCCCCTTCCCACTGTTCATGCCTTGCAGGAAGAAGTTCCCAAGGTCCATCTGAATGACACAACCCCAGCCTGCTGCCATGTGCAGACTGGGTGGGTGACTCCACACAGCTCCCGGTCTGCCTGGGCATTCCCGCAGCCTTCCCATCCATCCCTGCCTGGGATGTGTGCTGCGGGATGCTGCCCCGGAGCTGGGGCACAGGCTGGTTCCTATTTGGGAGCCTCGTAAATTACAGGCAATGTGGCAGTAACAAGGGCTGCTTGGCTGGCCCTTGTTAAGCAGGAGGGGGCTTGGGGCTGTGAGCTGCATTTCCTCAGTAAAACCTTCAGTTTCTAATCAGCAAACACCTCTCCTGCGGCCTGTGCTTAATTCAAATCCCTTTTTCCTTTCGAGATTTGTCACCCCCCCGCGCAGGCGCGGGCCTTTCTTCCCTTTTATATCTTCACCGCTGGTTTTCCTTTCTCGCTCCGCTGCCTTTGCAGTGCCCTCCGCCGCCATGGCACAGCTGGGGCTGCAGGCAGGGGCCTCGCTGGGCTTAGGTGTGTGGTGGGAAGCTGAGCCGACAGATTTTACACCCCCACCACCCCTCCTTAACTGATTAAGCTCTCGTTAATTTTGTTCTCTTAATAGCCCCTCTTTTGATTTACTGGGCTGTCTGAAAGGGACTTAGAGCTCCACCGACAGGAAATTGTTATTTTAACCTGGCAGGAAAGAATTTAAAATAAATAAACAAACAAATTTTTTTTTCCCTCCCTCTCGAATCTCTTTCAATTACTTTAACTCTTTCTTTTCCTAGATAGCAATTTAGCAGGAGCTGTCAGGAGTGGTGTTATAGGTGGCTGCAGAAGTGCTGGCAACCAGGGGCACTTCACAAGCTACCTGCCTTGGGGAGAGGAGGCAGCAGAGCAGGACCCCGTCATGCAGCAGTCCTGCAGCCCCTGGTTCAGCCCCTGGGTCCACCACCTCTGGGAAGTCAGCTGGGGTGCCTGGGGTCTCCTCCACTTCCCACCTCTGCCTTCTTTCCCACTGCAGTCCACTCTGGTGCTGCTGGCAGGACAGGAGGCAGATCGAAAGCTGCCTGATTAATAAAGTTCCTTGCTTTGCACTATTGCAGCCTGCTTAAGGACAGCATTTTCAAAAGAGGTCAGCTCCCATTTAGGCATCGAAGTAAGTTGGTTGCCTATTCAGGAGTGCTCAGCATGTCAAGAACTGAATGCTTTTGAAAATCTGGCTTCAATTGTAAAAGCTGAGAATTTCAAAATCTGGCCCCGGATCCTAATAGTTCTTTTGGAATTGATGTTTTCATTCATTTTCCTCATTATTTTTATGCTGGCCATTTACTTTTTGTACTTCACTCAGCTGTGAAAGAAATGGCCACATGTCCCTATTTAGAGCTTGTACTCTTGCCTGGAGGTTTGGGGAGGTACCATACATACACTCGTTGCAACACACCTTCTCTCCTCATTCTCTGCTCAATACTGTTCAATCTGCCTAGTGCTGTGGCCAAATTTTTTGAGCTCCCTTTTTTTTCTCCCCACCTATTGCTCTTCATCTTTTCACAGACCTGGGGGCAGCCAGTTCAGTCACTGCATCGATGTGCCTGGGTGGTCCTAGCTCACGAGGGGTCTCATGCACAGTTCTGTGCCTTTGGCTTTGCCCTTCTGGCCAGAGGCTCTGTGCAACGCAGAGCTGCAGGGAGGTCTGGTTGGAATATCTTTGCCTAACCCCTTCGTCAGCCTGGGCTCCAGGGAGCAACTCCTCTCTGTCCAACATTTTTCCATCCTGCTGCCAAACCCATCCAGATAGGGGGAATGAGTCAGCTTTGCTCCATAGGCTTCCAATGCTGAGGAGCCAGACAGTAAGTCCTACCCCAAAATGTTTCTACTGCATCAGTGAAAGGCTTTCCATCTCCAGTAAACATTAAGGTGTGAGGTGTTTTTAAGCCTGAACTACCTCAAAATCTTTTCCAGATGAGTGTAATTAGTGTGACCTTAACTTGTGCATCAGCAGTGGTGTCAACACTGCATGTTGTGGTATGGACAGACCGAGGGCACTTTTACAGCCATCATCAGTGGTGACTCCCCGTGGTGGCTGTGGCATAATGAAGGGTGCTTTGGTGGCTGTCTTACATGGAGAAATAAACTTGAGCAACTCAGATGGGTCTCCAAGTCAATCACTAAAGTATCCTGATTGACTTGGAGCTGTCAAGTCACTATGTGCTGGTTGGTGGGGGAAATTTTTGACGCTCTTCTCAGGTGAGGAGAGTGAACACCAAGAAGGATGAGGTGTGTGGGAGGGAAGTTGCTGTCTTGTCTCTTTGGCACTGGAGGTTACCCACAGGGATTTCCATATGTAACGGGGCTGTGGCCTGCAGTAGCTGGAGTATGGCCTAGTGTTTTCTCTGGATGCCTTCAGGATATGTCCAATGTCTGAACTCCATCCATGCTCCTGGATGCCTGGAAGCCACATTGGGCCATGCCAAGCTAGACTTAATTTATTCTGCCTCTCAGTAGGGCTTGTCATCTTGGCCTCACAGCCACTATACTCATGATCCTGTAACTCCTGTAAAGAGCTGCCTTGGGCCAGCCAGTGCACTAGATTCATAGTGGCCTGCAAAGGGCCATGTAAAGATGCTCTTTGTGGCCTTTCCAAACTCCAGCAGCATGTTGCTTTACTTGGTGTTTCTTCCTTTTGAAATCACCAGCTCTGAGGAGGTTTTTCTTTCCTCTTCTCAACTTTATGTGTCTCTTCCATGACTTCTCCTTCAAGCAGAGCTCTGGGATGGGGGGGGGGGGGAAGGAACAGCTTGTGAGGCTGTCAGAGGGACAGCCCAGTTTGCAGAGAGGCATGCAAGCCAGCCTGCTGGATTCTTGCTGTTACAATGTGCATCTCAGCATGCTGGCCATGGACATTGCCCTGTGCTGCACTTCTGCACCTTTGCTGTCACCAAAAGCCAAGCAAAGTAATTTGAGAGTAGCTTGGTGATATTTCCCCAAATATGTGTGGTTTCCTTGCTAGCAGTAATCAGCCTTGCCTTGAACAACTCACCAAGCATCTCAGGGGGAGTATGTGTCAGTCCTTACTTTAGGAGTTAGGAGGTTTAATTTTGGGGGTTATGCTTGAAGAAACTTGTGCCCTTTTTTGACTGAGATGGGTATGGAGAACACATGCTCAAGCAGGTGATAGCTCAAGCAGGTGATAGCTCAAGCAGTGACCATGGTGGAAATAGGAAATACCACCCTGCAGAGTCAGGTGCTCCTGAGGATGGTGATTGTGGCGAATGAGCTGTTTGCTGCAGGGGGAGCAGGCAGTGTAACTGCTCTTTGGGCTGGCTGCCATGGCTGCTTTGGGTTTGGTCTTGGGCTTCTTCCCTGTAGACATGCCACAGGAGCAATTCTTCAGTGCCCTAAGGCTTGCAGGTCGTCTTAGTGCTGCAGCTGAAGGGAGCTCAAAATCCTATAGCTGCATTATGATGCCAGTAAGGGAAATCTCCTCTTGACTTCAGCCTATTGCCTTCAATTAAAGATGAACTCAGTCTGACATCTGAGATGTCTCTTGGGGTGACTGTTGAGGTCTTTAATCCCCCTGACCTGGCTTGTCTGCTTTAGTGTTCGTTCATGGGTCTCCAAAGCAGCTGCTGCAGTGTGCAGCTCTTCACAGCAACCTGGGTTGTGACAGGTGGCCTTACATTTCTAGTCTTTTGGGGCTAGTTGACACTTTCAAGTATGAACCTGGTGGTTTGTGTAGAGTTAAAATAGGTGGTGTGTTTCAGGCAGAACAGTTAATCTGAAGTATTTTCATAGGTTGAGTCTCTTAGTTAGAGTGGACTTGTACTGCTCATTTACTTTAGTGTTCAAAATAGAATATATTCCAGACATAGCCAAGAAGTGGCAGCAACACTCAGTGGATATCTTCAGTGACACTTTGTTAGAAATGTTTGTGTTTTGCTCCTGAAAATTGCCCGGTGTGCATCGCTGTCATTCACTGTGCCAAGTACAAAATGGGGCAGGAGACTGTGTGTCTGTGTGTGTGTGTGTACTTAGGATGGGATGTCTTGGGAGACTCCCAACTGTGCCTGGGGGAGAGCCTGGAGAAGAGAAATGCTTGCATCAGCATCTGTAGTCTCCTCAGGCCACTGGCTTGGTGAATCTGGCAGTTTAGGGATGTTGGTAGAGAAGCCAAGCAGGGTTGGGTTTCATCCATCCTGTCTCTCTTGTCATCCACAGGAATCCACTGCCACAAATCCACTGCATCCCCTGCGGCAGCTTATGGGACCCTTCCCTGGGCAGCCCAGGTCACAGCACATGGGATGGCAATGACACGTGGAAGGAAGAGGCCCATGTCCCCCATCCCTTGCCTCATGCTTGTGGCTGCCAGCTGTTTTGCCAAACTGAGTGAGTGTCTTTTCTTACCCATTCTGGTTTCCCTCAGTGCTGTTTAGCGTAGCCATGCCTCACAGACAAAGAGGTTTCCTCTCTCTGCTGTTCCCTGAGTAGCCTTGACCAAAGGTCTAGGTTCAAACCCTCTTCCAGAGGAGGATACATTTGGAGTCGAACATTTCTCTCAGGCAGTGCCAGGAAGAAATGGGCTGAGGTTCATCTCTAAAAATTAGGGTGGGTGTATGAGGACTCCAGGGGATGGTGCAACACAAGGAAAGGCCACTTGGAATGCAAATAGTACAGCACTGCAGCTTTTTCCTCTGTCCATTCTATTGCTGAGTCTCACAGAGCTTTCTTATTCCCGTTTTTTCCCTCTGTGCAGGTGAATCTCTGCAGGTCACAGTGCAACCTGCTTCTATTGTCCAAAAGCTTGGAGGCCCCGTCAGCCTGGGGTGTGTGGTGGACCCCCCTCGCGTGAACCTCACCTGGAGACTGAATGGGAAGGAGCTGGCTGGATCGGACGAGGTGCTGGGTATCCACGTGGAGCAAGGGAAGCTCATCATCACGGCTCTCAACAACCGCACCGTGGGGCGCTACCAGTGCATTGCTCGTGTGCCTGAAGGAGTCATTGCCAGTGTCCCTGCAGTGGTAACCTTAGCTAGTGAGTAGCTTTAGTTCTTCGACAGCCCCTGCCTTGCTTGGGCCATTGCTCACATATCTTGAGAGGCTCATCCATTCTTGCTTGCTCGTGCTGGCATCAAGGGATGACTCCTTTGGCATAGGCCCTTTTGTAGCATTTTTGGTCATGGACTGGATGACATGGTGTGGCCCAGTCTGACCCAAGCTATCCTCCTCCTGAGTGATAGGCTGCAGATCTGTCCTTCAGGGAGAAGGTTTTGCAAGACCAGGGAATGCCTGAGCTGTGTTTCCTGACAGGTAGGCTGCCTCCTCTGGTTCCTAACTTATTGATGGAGTTTATAAGTAGTACCTGCTGGAGCTGATGGCCCAACTGCTGCTGGGGCTGCTGCCCGCACAGGGTCAGTGTGTGCTACGTTTTACTGCCTTCTTGAGACACAACTCTGAGCAAGGGACTTTGCTCTTATTCCTGAGCTTATGTGCTCCTCACTGCTGCCCTCTGGCACTGGGAGACGTGTGCATGGTCAGAGGTGTCTTAGGTGGACAATTTTTCTTACAAGCACCTGGTTTTTGCCACATGTTGTATGTATTTGGCCAGAAGGGATTGTATCTGGATGCATGTGAGAAAGAGCAGTGGAGAACCCCACCTTCTCAGAAATCCACACAGTGTTTGGTGGAGCAAGTGTGTGCAGAGGAGGCTGCCATTGCCTTGCAGTGACAGTCCCTGAGTGTGGAACGGGCTTAATCTTTCCCAGCAAAAGGGAGTTTGGGGCTAAGTCTTAAGAAAATGAAGACGTGAAGATGTTTGTGCAAAGTGGGGCCTGGCTTTGCTTTAAAGCCAAGAACTATTGGCTTGTCACTGATACATTAATCAGGAGTGAAATGTTTAGGCCAGACAGGGTGGGAGGAGGAGGAGGAGACTAGGGAAAGCAAGGAGAGAGTTGCTGAACTCTGAAGCAGGGTGGGAGGGAGTTGTCACGGGGCCGAATCTGTTGGGGGATTTGGCCTGAGCCCCATGCTGAGATTAAGTTTCAGAGAACACATTCCAGAGCAGAAAGGGGGCTGTGTGTGCTGGTGGCCTGATAGAGAGAAGGAAAGGAGGAGAGAGGTGGATGGGATTACCAAGGGCATGGTTTGAATTTAGGAGAGTAGGGTGTGCACAGCTCCTCATCCTGATCATCTCCTGCTTAGCTGATCCCCTTTTCTTTTTTCACTTGCATCCCAGCCCACTACCACCAACTCTGTCTCCTGGGAAAAGTATGTCTGACCTATCTGACTGCTTTAGCAGTGAATGGGGGACAGGTCCTAAGGCACCAGAAGGCCCCATAATGTCCTTCAGGACAAATCAAAGCTTCTGAGTAGTGCATCAGCCCTCTCCAGGAGCCAAATTACCTTTGCCTAGTGTGTGCAAAAGAGAAGGACTTGGCCATTGCTGTGTCCCTGTTGTGGCAAATGCAATTCTGAGAGGAAGTCAGGAGCCCCACTCAGTGGAGCTCACAAAACTGGAGCCAGAGGTTGGATGATCAAGCAGCTAATCCATTGTGGAAAACCCCTGTGCTGTGCTGCACGGGTCCCTCATCCTCAGGGGTAGCTGGGGATGGCAGAGCATCCCACACACCTGGATAGCCTCGGGTGATAGAGAGCACCCAGATGGGGAAGATACAGCAGTCAGTGAGTGAAGAGAGAGATAGGGCATCCCAGTGAAGGTGTTGGACTCAAGGTGTGGGAGGAGAATCTTCTGGAGAGGCTCAAATAACCAGTCTCATGTTCATGAGCTGGAGTCTGCTTGCAACAGTGGTGTTGCTCTGAAAGAACAGGGAGCACCACTTGGTGGTGGAGCTGAGTTTGAAAGCTTGGTAGCAGCTGTGCCCCAGGCTTTCTATGCTGCTCCAGACCTCCTCTATAGGACCTTGCTCAGAGCTGATTCAGTGGCGACCGTGGTGCAAGGAAAGCCCCTGGCAGGTCAGCTTGCAGTTGATAAATCTCTTCCCGAATAACCTTCGGGGCTGAAAGAAAACCCTGTGAAAGTCTTAGTTCCATCCAAAAATTATTTTGGGATGGCAAGGGGAAAGTGAAACTGCAATGTGTGAATGAAAGCAGTGGGGGGAAGGATGGCGATGGAAACATTTTCAAGGCTTGGTTTATTTTGGAAGAGGACCTGGAGTCATTGGAAGAAGTGACTTGCTAGGTTTTGAGGAGTGTAGGTAAAATTGTCTGGCCAACTTTAGGCTATTTCTCCTCTTTTCTTTGGGCCTTGTTTGAAGGAAGGAGTCTGGAATGCCCCAGGCTCTGTGTGCCCAGTCCCTTGGGGCCTGCTGTGCTTTGCTGACAGTCAGCAAGCAGATAGCCATCACTGCAGTGCTGGCAGCCTCGGTGTAGCCCTGGGACTCACACCTCCTTCTCTCATCTGAGCTGATGAGAGTGATGTTGAGGCCATCTCTCTTCCCCCTGGCTCAGAGTGCTGGTTGAAACTTGCATTTAATTTCTCCAGCAGAGATAAAATAACTGTTGTATATCCAAGAGGTGGAGGGAGGAGGGATTTGCAGAAGGGAAAGATTTCACGAAGTGACAAAGGGAGCAGCCCTTCAGGCATCACTTGGGCACCATTGGGTCCAGTTAGAAATGAAGTGGAGCTCCACAGCAGTTGGAGCACCTTGGCAGCCCATAGCATATCAGTGCAGGTCACTGCAGGTCACACCTGCTGATCAGTGCTGGCCTGATTGTGGTGCACAAGATCAGCCCTGCAGGCCCCAGGGCAGCACTGCAGTCTGGGACAGCTTGTATGGATAAAACAGGAGTATCCCTGATTTTCCAAACCAGGCTTTAAGCCTTCATATGAATGAAAGCTGCAAAGAAGAAATGTTTTCTGTGCCTGATTCTAGGTGGCAAAGTTGCGATCCTGCCAGAAAGCCCTGCCCCAGCCCCTCTCCTGGGCAGGGGTGCTGTATGTAAAAGCACAGCTGCAGTGGGCTCTGGTGGGGCTGAGTGATTCCACCATGGACTTGTACATGGTGCTGAGGGCTGGTTCTGTAACAGCTATAGGCTTGGAAGGTGAGGAGCTCTTCATGGAGCTCACAGGGGCAACTGAAGTGCAGGGCTGGAGCAAGGCTGATGAGCAGAGGTAACGAGAGCTGTGTAATTCCCAGAACTCATCTGTATGCATAGAAAATCAGGGCATCAAACACAGAAGCAAGCCTGACCTGGATAGCCATGATATTTGAACACAAAACAGAAAAATAGATGAGGGGTGCAGTAAAAAACCTCCACCTGTTCCAGTGTCCCTGTGGCCGGGGGTGTGGGATTGCAGGTACCTGTGTCTCGGGAATGCAGTGGGCAAGGGTGGCTCATTGCCCTGTTCCCTCCATCAGTGCCATGGGTGAGGTCAGTCCTCGGCCTTGTGGCAGCACGTGTGGGAAGCTGGGCCTCAGCATGTGGAGCTTGTGGGCAGTGACCTTGCACAGGATCGGGCTGGGCATCCCCCAGGAATTTGCAGCTGCTTTCTGAAGACAGCCCCATTCATTTTCCTTCGCCAAGGCCTCTCCGCAGATACTCCCCAAAGGCAATGGCAGGAGGGAGGGAGGGAGGGAGGGAAGGAGGGAGGGAAAGAAGAGGATAGCTGCCTGTTGGAAAAGCATATGCAGAGCAGGCACAGGAGCTCTGGTCCCGGGGGCAGACTTGATGTGAGGAGGGGAGAGAAGGAAAACACAGGTGGTGTTTTGTGAACCATCGGAGCTGTGGCATGAGGACTGTGAGATGGCCCAGGGTGGGGGAGATGGGCTGGGGTGGGTATCAGTAGGCTGGAGTCCGTGGGACTGTGCCTGTCTCAGCAGGGTGGGAGGAATCTGGTGATGACAGCACCACTGCCCAGGCTCCTGTGGTGCTGGCTGGACGGGGAGTGAGAGCCATAGCCCTAGGCTGCTCTCACAGCTGAGGGGGGAACAGTGGAAGGTGCCTGCCCCCAGGCTGGAGGACCCTATTCCTGCCTTTTCCCCTTCCCTCTCTTTCCTCTTTCACTCTTCCCTATGGCAGGGAAACCTTTTACCTTGGGGCCATCATTTCATTTACTATTGCTTCTTCTCCAGATTTATTTATGGTCTCCCATTCATTTAATCAGCTCTGTCTCGCCTGCCTCGTTGCTTGGCCCCCAGCCCTGGGACTCAGCTGGTTTCTCTCCCCAGTGACAGCAGCACAGTTGGCTGCATGGCTGCACCCCGGCTCACCCCATCACGCCTCGGAGCCGGCTGCAGATGGACATGAGCAATGGCCTTTGGTTGCACTCCCTCCTAAACAAAAAAAGGGGGGAAAAAGCCCTCTTGTCCCAGTACGGCTGGGATTGGTAGTGCTCAGTCTGTCTGTCCGCAGCACCTCCCGGACAATGGCTGGGAGATGAGGACTTGCTTCACTGTGGTCAGGCGTGTCTTTTAAGGACAAGAACATGGGCTGGCGCGCTGGGTGCTGCCATATGAGAAGGAAAACTCAGCCAGTGAGAGGGGATGTGGTTTCTCCCAGCTGCAGTGGTTGTTAGACTCCTTTGCAAATTGCATGTTAGATGTGGGGCCTGGCTGCCACTGGCTGCGCAGCTGAAGGGGCAAGTGCTGCATATCCCCCTGGCATGGATCCTGTCCTCCAGCCCTCCCTGCTGGGGGGGACATGCATGGTCCCCCCACAACTCAGAGGCAGCTTGTTTGAACTCCCCAGGACGAAGCTGGTTGTCCCAGCTTGGCACTGTGCCCTCTGTTTTGCTGTGCTGGGGCCAAATGCAACAGGATCTGTGGGGGAGCTTGTCCCATGCACAGAGGGGGACAGGGGTGACCCTGACCACCCCTCACCAGAGGTCTGGCTGACCCATTGGCCCTAAAGGATGGCTCTGCATGCCCATACCAGTGGTGAGCAGGGCAGTTGAGATTGCCTGTGGCCAAAATCCACTGGCAAGTGAACCAGTCTTGTTCTTTGTGGGGAAGTAGGAATTTAGGAGAGTAGTTTGGCAGGAAGCTCGTACACTTGGCATATGAGAAAGTAGTTTGTCCCAGTTCTGCTATTTTTCCCCTCTCCCCTGCCAGCTTCACTCTGCTTCTCCAAAGGCACCTGGTTCTTGGTCCCCCAGCCCCCTCAGGATCCCTTCCTTTCCTCTGTTCTTTCCCCCATTGTCTACAGTTTCACCTCTTGTCCCTCACTTCTGGGCTGAGGGGAAGCCAGGAAGAGCTGCAGCTCCCTACTGTGGAGCTGCACCACCCACAGCTGTGATATGTGGGCTGAGCCACCATCTGGGGGGCTGTCTGGGAGAGGCCCCCATGTCTGCCCAGCCCACAGCCATCCCAGGGGGTGCCATGGCTAAGGGTCATCATTTTCCATCTTCAAAATGGCTCTGCTATGCCAGGACCTTGGGTCTGCTCTTTTTCCAGGCTCTTGGGCCACTTCTTCTCCTCAGGGTATGTGTGCATGTACACGTGCTCCATGTAAGTGTGTGTGTGCAGATCCCTGCCAGCATTGCTGGAGCCTGTGCCTTGGCTCCTAAATCTTAATTTGGCTGTGATGAATCCAGACCACCAAGGCACACATTAATTTTCCTGATGCTCGTTTATATTTCGTTGATCAGCAAAACATGCGCAGTGTGGGCAGGCAGACCCTGGGCTTTCGCCACTTCTCCACCTCTTTCCATTTCTGTGGCTCTCACTGTTTTATTCCTTGATCAAATATAAAAAGCAAAGAGGAGAAAATATCCATCATCGTTCCCTGCCCCAGCAGTAACTTTCGTTGGAGGAGGAGTGTGAGGCGCTGCCAGCTTTTCACAAGTTAAGAGTTAACTTTCATCTGGCTTTAATATCCAATGGAAACATGGCTCCCCTCCTCAGCTTGTCTTAAAGAATTAATCACATTTCTGAAGTTCAGCCGTATCCCTTCTTTTTATTATTTTTTTTAATTGAACAATGCCAAGAAATTCCAGAAGTATTAAGCATGTTCACTGCAAATCATTTTTATGACATTGCAAAACCTCCCCTTTTCTTTTCAACCTCCTCCCCTTCCCTCAGATCTGGGCCCGGGACCGCTGGCTCCCCCAGCAGCTGCCCGACAACCCCTCCGCACCGCGCTCGGGGAGGCTTTCTCGATGCCTTGCCAAGAGAGCTGGTTTTTATTTAAACTCCATAAAGGGTCTTGCTTTAATCAGAAAATCTACTTGAGAAATTTCATGTCACTTTTCCATGACTGTGGGTGGGAGAAGCTTGGAGCCAGAGTTGTCTTTTGCCCTTGGAGCGCTGCTGCATTTCCCAGAGAACACATTTTTCTGCTGGCTGGGGCTGCCAAGGGAGGCTGCCTGCCGCCTGCCCGCCGCCAGCCCTCCTGCTGCCCCCCTGGCCCCCAAACTGCCCGAGGTCACGGGTGCCACGTCCTGGGATGGGTTTCTGGGACTGAGGGAGCTGTTGACAGCACGTGGCTGTGCCGTGGCTGCAAAATGCAGCACACTGCATTAGAGTGGGGTTTTGCAAAGGAAGTGTGGTCTGATCCAGAATTAGTGGCATGCCATTCAGGAGATCTGTTAGCCCTTGATCCTGGGAAGAGGCACCAACCTGAGCCTTGATATGACAGTGTAACCTGTCACCTGTGACAACAACCAACTGCGGGATGTGCCATTTTCACTAGGGGTGAAAACACCTGGGCTGGTGTACAGCATTGTAAAAATGCACACGAGGGACTTTTTTCCCGGCACAAAACCTCCTCCCTCACAGCATAGGTGTCTGAGACAAACTTCAAGCTTGAAGTGCATCGGCAAGATTTGCCATCACGCCCAGAGAGAATGGAAACCAGTTTTCTCTCTGAAAAGTTTGATGGGGCCAGGTTGGTATGCTCCCTGCCCTTCCAGATCTGTGGGGTTTTGCTGCAGTCCTCTCCTCCTGCTTTAAAAAAACAGGGAAAAGAAAACAAAAAGTTAGGTACCCCTTCTTCTTAGTTCCTGTGCTTCCAGTCCTGCTCCCCACATCAGCCCAGCCAGGGTGGGAACTCCCATCACAGCATGGGCAGAGGGATGTGGTGGGACAGGGTTTTCACAGCTGCTTTAGGGAAGGAGCAGCTGTGCCATGTAGAGGAGGAGCTGGTTTTCCTTGCAAGTCCCTGTTCTTTTTACTGGAGCTTGGGCACACGTGTGGTTAACCAACTTCCAGCTGCAAGATATTTGATTGGAGCAAGAGTGCCTGGAGCAGAGATGCTGATTTCTCAGGTGTGGGAGGAGCTCAGGAAGCATCACACACTTCCTCCCACCGGGCATCTGTATACCCTTGAAGCAGGCTGGGCTTCCTGAGTTATGACTACAAAGTCAGCTTCTCAGTAGCAGGACAGCAGCCATGTGTGAAATAGCAGGCGGCAGAAGGAGCATTTTTGGCTGCCCTTCCGTGCTGCAGTAAGTTGGCTTATTTTTTACTCTCAGGCCAGGATTTTTCACCCCCAGTTTCCCAGCCCTGGAGCAGGCAGTTTCTCCAGAAGCTGTGTTTTAAGTTACTCATTTTGTAGGAAAAAGGGGGGGCGGGGAGGGGGAATTGTGAAAGGAAGCCAGTTTCCCTAGCTGCTGGGGTCACAGCAGTCCTCTGCTGGCACCACAAGGAAACAGACCCGAGTTCATGGGAGAGCATGAGCTGATAGCTGAGATGTTTAGCCAGCAACTGAGATGCCTTGTCTTCTGCTCTCTTTGCAGATCTCAAAGATTTCAAGTTTGATGGCCAGCATGTGATTGAGGTGGATGAAGGGAACACAGCCGTGATTGCCTGCGACCTGCCCGAAAGTCACCCCAAGGCCCAGGTCCGCTACAGTGTGAAGCAAGAGTGGCTGGAGGCCTCCCGAGGTGAGTGCACAGGGGTCTGTCCCAACAGGTTCCACCACAGGACCCTCAGTTTCACCCTTCCTTACCAGCAGTCGCTATCTCTACCTGCTGCCTCCTTGTCCCTTTGCCACCTGTCTGAACACAAGTTACTTCAGGGTCCCTGGCATGGTCTCCCTGATGTCCATGCTGCCTGGGACATCATGGTTTTTTCTTTCCCCCTTGTCCACCTTTTCTTCAGGACACTGCATGTGTTCCATGGACAGGAGTTCCATGGAGGTTGGACAGGAGTATATCTTGTGATCATGTGCCACTTTCTCTTCTCTCTACAGACAATTATCTTATTATGCCATCTGGAAACCTTCAGATCGTTAATGCCAGCCAGGAGGATGAGGGGACTTATAAATGTGCTGCCTACAACCCCGTGACACAGGAAGTGAAAACTTCAGTCTCCAGTGAGAGGCTCCGTGTGAGACGTAAGCCATTCTCCCTTCACCGCACATCTCCAGCTCTGGGGGCACTGATCAGTGCTATCTGGTACAGCTGGTTTTCTGTGTGAACCATTATCAGTTGCTGAGAAAACTCCTTTCCAGCAGCAGAAGGCCCCAAGGTCTGCTCCTGGAGTATGTGTATGCAGCCCTGGAGTTGCCATGCTTCCTTAGGATTTGTTCTTGGTGGTGGGCGGGCAAAGGCCCTTAGCCCTTTGGGTGGCTTTGGTGTGTGCAGAGAACCCTTACAGAATGTCCCTCTGGTCCTGCATTGCCATTTACCATCCCAGCAGAGGAAAACAGTGCGCCCTACCATTATCCCTACTTAACCCACTGCACAGGGTGCTCTCCCACCATCCACCTTCTTTCCCATGCACCTCCTTCCTCCATCTCTCCTCCCCAGGCTCCACAGCGGAAGCAGCACGGATAATTTACCCTCCTGAGGCTCAGACCATCATTGTCACCAAGGGCCAGAGCCTGATTCTGGAGTGTGTGGCCAGCGGGATCCCCCCACCGCGGGTCACCTGGGCCAAGGATGGCTCCGGCGTCTCCGCTTACAACAAGACGCGCTTCCTGCTCAGCAACCTCCTGATCGACCCCACGAGCGAGGAGGACTCGGGCACCTACAGCTGCACAGCTGACAATGGCGTTGGGGAGGCCGGGGCCGCGTTCATCTTCTACAACGTGCAGGTGTTTGGTGAGTGCTGCTGGAGCTGTCGTTTCAGGAAGGACTTGGATGTCTCATCTTCTTTTAGGGGAAGATACTAGCTCTGAAGCACTCTTCCTCTCCCTGGACAAACCACAATGTAATGCAAACCCCTGCTTGTGGTTCCAGTTTCCAGGAGACCAGACTAATTCTTTCTTCAGGGCTGTAGTTCCTCCTTCTTGGCTCCCACCATGGGCTGAAGATGATGGATTCTCCTTTCCTCTGCAGAAGCTCTTATCCTGTAATTTGTGGCACTGCTTTTGTTCTAATACTTTCTAGTGGAAGCCTGGTTGCTTTTTAGACATACTTGACATTGGCATAAGGAAGACACTGGAGTGTCTTTGTTTTGTTCTGTTTTTTGTTCTGTTGTAGGGAAGCTCTATATGGAGTGGAAAATGTAAGGGATACTACACCTCAGATATTTCTACCACACATAACTTCCCAGTCTCACAATTTTTAGGGAGATTAAGCCTATGTTTCACAGATTGCATTTCATCAGGTGCCGCCATTGTGGTGTTGTGGCACAAGCACAGTCTTTGCAGAGTAGCATTTCAGCTCAGAAAAATGGGACTTGTAGATGTCTGATGTCATGTGAGAGGGCAGATGGCCTTGGGCTACCTCCCTTTGCAGCTTATGTGGATGCTGAAGGGGAGGGGCATTGAAGCAGACCCATGTGGGCCCCCACAAAGGGAGTAGTGGGACTTTAGGGTAGGAAATGATCCATCACTCTGCTCTCATCCCTGCCAGAGAGGAAAGTGCAAAGCCATGACCGTGCCATGCTCCCAGCCAAGTGGTGCTCAACAGTCTGTGTCTGTTCCTCACACAGAACCCCCAGAGGTCACCATGGAGCTATCCCAGCAGATCATTCCCTGGGGCCAGAGTGCCAAGTTCACGTGCAAGGTGCGAGGGAACCCGCAGCCCTCGGTGATGTGGCTGCGCAACGCGGTGCCTCTGTCGGGCAGCCACCGGCTGCGGCTGTCGCGCCGGGCGCTGCGGCTGCTCAGCGTGGGGCCCGAGGACGAGGGCATCTACCAGTGCATGGCCGAGAATGAGGTGGGCAGCGCCCAAGCCATGGTGCAGCTGAGGACAGCTGGCCCGGGTAAGCCCCTCTCCCCAAAGTCATGGCCATTCAGTCACAGCCTAACAGACAGGACAAGGACAGGGGAAGCAGGGGAAGGAAGTTGAGGTGTTGCCCCTGCTTCCTATTTAACCTGCGCTGCAAGCGCTTCTCTGCCTGAGGTCTCCATATCTCCCTGTGGGAACACGTGACACCAGTTTTGCTTCTAAGGGTGGGGTCATGAGTGCACATTTGGGTGATCTCTACACAAGAGACACAAGACATCTAGGTGTAGTGCCTCACCCCATGGCTTAGCTCTGTCTCTGAACTTGCACTGAGCAAGAGCTTAAAAACTGAATTCACCTGGGGTAGGAGAGGTACCACCTGATTCCTTGGACCCTGTTGAACTTACACAGTTCAACTTACCAGAGGAACTGTAGAGAGACAGAGAACCCTATGGTTTATAGCAGGGGAAGGAGGGATTGTTGCCAATACCTTTTTGAGTGGTACAGCAGGCAGCACCGCACAAGGGGCTCACAGCTCTGCCTCAACCACAGACTGGGATAGGTGTTTACTCTGCTGTGACACCTTGTCTTTCAGGAGCTCCACTCAACCCTGGGCGAGATGCCCAGCTGGACTCAGCTCAACCTCCAACACCACCTTCCAGAGACAGCGCCTTAAAGCTGCCCTTGGATATAGCTGGACTGCCAAAGCCTGGGACAACCCCTCTAGCAGCATCTCCACAGTGTGCAGCCAACAAAGAGCTGGTGACTCCAGCCGAAGCCCCCATCATCCTCAGTTCTCCACGGACATCCAAGACAGACAGCTACGACCTGGTGTGGAGACGCCGGCCTGACAGCAGAGCCCCGATCCTCTATTACGTGGTGAAGCATCGCAAGGTATCCCTGTTTTGCCCTGTTCCCGTCTTCCCTCTGCACCATTCCATGGGTGGAGTGGTGGCCTCCCCACGTGTTTCATGCTTCATGGGCAGGGGCACCCATTGCTCACTGATGGTACTGGTTAGTGGGACCTCCTGAGCTGCGGTCTCAGCCTGTTGAGGTGTGATGGATACAGGCTGTGACAGGAGGTTTGCTGAGCTATCCAGGAAGAGCCCAGTGGCAGTGCCTGCCTGCCTAAGTGGAGCGGTGGCCGGTGGAAAGTAAAACGCCCAGGCTAGATAAGTGTCCAGCCAACTTCCAGCCAGTAAGGCACTTCCCCAACCCGAAGTCAGGGCTTTGTGCCCAAGGCGATGTCAAGCCTTGCGGACGTGTGGCCGCAGTAGAGAGCTCCGAAGTCGCAGGATGAAATGAAGAGGCGACTCTCAGTTTCTTCGGGGGGGGGTGGTTTTATTGGTAGGGAAACGTGGAGTTTTTCGGTGGAAGAAGCTGAGAGCCCCGAGGCAGGGAAAGCCTCGGGTTTTACAGAGGGTGGGAGGGGTGAAAGATAGCAAATCAGAGAGGGATACATTAAGGATTGGCATGATCGGAGAACCCATCAAACACAGTTGCGGGAGGGACCCTGGCCCCTAACCCAATCACTCGACACCCTGGCCCGAACTCTCTAGAAAAAGAGGCCGGGGTGTCGAGTGACAGGCAGGCTGCCAGGGGTGGGGAACAAGAAAGATAACCAAGACAACTGGGGAGGGGTTTGGGGATTGACACAAACTGGTAACAGGGCAGGACCTTCTGAGAGAACAATGGGGGGAAAACTGAACAAGCATAAAACACACCACAACACCTAAGTATGCAGAAGGCACATGCACACACTTACCAGTAGCTTCCATGCCCAATTCGTAGTTGTGTGCTTGCACAGGTAGGAAGCCCTGAGGGCAGGTTGCACAATAATTTGTTCTGCACAATGACTTGTCTTGGCACAAGCCACTGGAGCACCTCTCCTTGAACGGGCTGCAGGACACAGAGCAGCAGCCTCTCCACTGCATGTGGCTGCCCTCCTCAGCAGCACTGAAGTGCCCATGCTCAGTGAGTGTGAGGATCCAGCAGAGAACTGTCATAGCTGTGCTAAATCCTCTGGGAAGGTCCTTATCCCCCAGATTTATTCTTGTAGCTGGAAGGCAGTGCACTGTGGTGTACATCGCTTGCAGGTGGGACAGTGTGAGCACATGGTGCACAGCCAAGTCCTGCTGGAGCCCATGGGCTCCTCCCTCTAGGATGCTTCACGGCGCTGCAGGCACAGCTGTAGCCCAGCAGTTTCTTTAAATGGTGAAGCACTGTTGAGGGAAAAATTCTGGTTTTGAGTTCTATAGTATCTCTTTCCATTTTGCTGGGGATAAGTGGGAAAAAGAGGCTTGAATTTTTTTGTCTGCTGCTTTTCTTTCCTTTGGGTAGGCAGGGAGTTGCAGTAGAGAGGCAGGTTTTGCCTCAAACCCCAGAGGGTTTGAGTAGTTCCAAAAACATGCCAGATTGCATGTTTGGGATTCCCACCCACTGCAAGGCACTGTTTTCATGTACATGTGAGTATATGTATCTATTTTCCTGGAATTTTGTGCTTTTGTGAAAATATAGTGTAATAGAAGACTGTTACAATCCTTGATTTCTTTCTAAAAAAAATTAAGATGAGGATTTCAGCTAACCATCTCTTTAAAGAGCCCTTTAAAACAAAGGGAGAAGATCCTGGCACAGGAACACAATAGGGCAAGCTTAAATAAAAAACAAAGTTGCCAAAAGCATCCCCAGACTATTGGCTCTGGTTGTCTGCCAAGGAGAGATTTATTCTCCAGTGGTGTATCATGTAACTACTAATTCTGCTTGCAATCTTAACTTGCAGCCTTGGAGTTTGTCCATATTTGATTTGTTTTTCAGCGCTTCACCTGGAAGGGGCTATGGGGCAGTGAAGGTTACCATGGGTCACTGCAGTTTGCAGTAATATGTTTTCAGTGTAGTCCAAATTCTCAGCTGGAGACTCTTTCTTGGGATGCTTAAGGATTGTGTGGGAAGGAATTAGTCCCAATAACTCTTAAATGTGTTTTAAAAGAGTCTCTTTCTATCCAAGATTCTTAGGATCGAGTTAAATAATGATCTGGTTTTGACATTTCTGACTGGAAAAGCATGTGTGTGGAGAGGGAAGGAATCAATTTAGCAACAAAAGAAAAGGCTCTTTGTGTAGAAGACAGCTGTAAAGAAAGTTAGATCTACTGACAGGAGACCTACATTTGTACTGGGCAAGGTTCTGCTTCTTCTCTAGAAAATGTCTGTGAATGTCTCTTTTTACTCTGTTCCTACACTGCCCCAAACTCTCAGCAGCCTGCAAGCAGTCAGATGCCATGCAGCCCTTATTTTTGTTTCTTAAGAATTTCTCTTTCCCTTTCCTGGATATTAGCAGCTTTTAGGGCTCCCCTCCTTGGCCTCACAACTTTTGCAGGCTCAGGAATAAAAATAAAACAAGGCAGGCATTAATCAGTCAGTGTCAAACGCTTGGGGAAGATGAATGATACAGCAGAGTCTTGGCATTTCCGTTCTGTTGCGTTGCCTGCATTACTAATTCTCCTTTTGGCACCGGGTCACTTCAGTGTCCTGCCTGTTTGCCTGCAAAAATATTATCTTTGCAGCTGGGGAGAAGGAGGAAGGTTCCACCTTCCCTCCCCTTCTGCATGGGGCACTAGGGTATCACAAAAAAAAACCCCCATGTTTCCAAGCTTTTCTGAGGGCTATGGCCATGCACAGTCTCTTCCCTGCAGAAACCTTTGCCCTAGTATTATGGTTCTTCATTTCAGCCCCAAAGTGCCGGGGTGAGGCTTGATAAAACTCATTAAAACAAAGTTGTGCCTGGGTACCTCATCCCACAGAAATGGCCAATATCTAAATGAGCAGCTCAGCAGCTGGGCTGCAGGAGAGATTTGGCTCCTAAAGCAGCTCAGTCCTGTGGCTAAAGCTGCATTTTGGGGGCCACTCCTGCTCTGGAGATTTAGACACATAGAGTGGTGGTGGTATCAAAGGGAACTGGAGGATAGAACAGGGCTGAATGAACCTTGGGGTCAAGAAAACGCTCTGGGGCTTGGGTGAGTTGTCCTGCTTATACCTGAATTGCTTTGTAAAATCAGGCTGGAAACATCTCCTTCCTTTGCCAAGAAGGACAAGAAGGTAAATGTGGTTGGTATACAACTTACTAATAAAGTTTCTGAGCTCAGTGCCCACAAGAAGCCCAGCCTGCCCCAAGCTCTGCAACACCTGCATTGGTCTCTCAGCAGGTCACCAACGCCTCGGACAGCTGGGCTGTGAGGGATGTCCCAGCCTCGCAGCACCGCCTGACCCTCACCAGGCTGGACCCTGGGAGCCTCTACGAGGTGGAGATGGCTGCTCACAACTGTGCTGGCGAGGGACAGACAGCCATGGTGACCTTCCGTACCGGTAAAGGACAGACCTTCCCTGGGTTCCCTTTCGCTCTGAGTCAGGGGAGTGGCCCTCTGGAACATCCTGTCCCAGCCCTGAGGCACAAAGCACCAGCCTTTGGACAATGGGAGTGTTTCTGCTCTGGAAACCCATCTGTCCTCAGCTTAGAGCAACTGTCAGAAGGGAAAGTGAAGGGGTAGGGTGGGGAAAATTCCAACCCATCCTCTGTGTGAGTTGGAGTAAGTCTCTTCTTTCCTTGGGGTCTCAGTTGAACACCTGCAGAACTGTCAAAATGTGTCTTGCATAAATGTCAAGAGATTGTTTAATCCATCCTCTGCCTGGAGACAGAAATCTAGCAACATTTCAAGAAAGCCAATTAAAAGTTGTAGAAAATTAAATTTGAGGGGGATTATTAACAAATCTGCCCCTTTAGCTTTCGTTCCTGCCAACAGGCTGAGTGCTTTGAGCCCCTAGGGCTGTTAGAGTCTAGGACGTACTTACCTCCACATCCTGTCTGGGAATATTTGCTTTCCTCATCGCAGCAAAAGTTAATTCTGAGTGCATCTCTCTGTTACTGATGCCACCTCTCCCTTCTGCACAGGCCGGCGCCCAAAACCAGAGATTGTTGCCAGCAAAGAGCAGCAGATCCAGAGGGATGACCCAGGCACGAGCACGCAGAGCAGTAACCAGGCCGACAACAGCCGTCTGTCCCGTAAGGCCCTCCCTGAACTGGCACCGGGGAGGGTGAAGGGTGCTGGGTCTCTTGTGGGTGGTGGCAGTGGCCAGGCATGCTGGGGTTGAAGTCTCCACTGGGTAAATCAAGAGTGCAGTGCTGGATGGGTGGTTTCTAGCTTCTGACAAGGAGAGGTCCTTCTTGGACACTCCTGCTCCTGGCCTTGGCAGACAGCGAGTCCTGGAGACCAGGCAAATCCCACTGCCTGGCCCCACCTTTAATGTGAGGACGTCTCAGCAACTCTCTGCCTTTTTCTGAGTTCCACACAGAGGGTTTAGAAAGCCCTGTCTTGGAATCTGTGAATATGTGAGGCACAGGAGCAACAAACTGCACTGCAGCAGTGGGTGCTGATGGAGTGTGAGGGAGGAACAGGGACCAAGTTCCATCCTGCAGGATCTGGCATCCTCCTCTCTCAGCCAAGCCCTGGCTAGGGGCAATTGGTTCCCATTTTACAGGTGCAGAGAGTGCTCCATTTGGGTATCTTGCTGCACTGGAGGAACATCAGATCCTTACTGGTCAATCTAATTTGTTGTTTCCCACCTTGTCTCTATCATGACTATTGCCTTTATCATTTCTGTGACATTCTCTCTTTCAGTCCTAATCCTATGAGGTCCCATCCTTCAATCTCCCCCATACTCATTCATTTTTTGTCTTTATTTTCATATCCATAGCTCCATTCATCTATTTTCCTCCCATCTTTTGATTGTTTTTCTGTCAAATTGCATTTCCACAGTTCAGAACTTTTCCTTATTTCCTTCTCAGCTGTTCCTTCTCAATCTCTTCTGTTTCTATCTCCTACACTTGGTTGTCCCTGCATCAGTCTCCCCCTGCTCACTGCTTCCACATCATCCAGGCTTTTTGCTCTGTCTCCACCCCTACATCCACCCCTCACACTGCTTTCCCTCCCATGATGGGTGATCACACCTCAAACTTTGTGTCATCCCACTTGAGCCGGGAGTGGAAAAGGAGCAAGATGTAAGCAGGAGTAAAAGGTGCTTGTGGGCACAAACTGAAAGGCCTGAGGGTTTGGGGGTGCCAGCTCTAATGAAGAGCATTCAGGAGTTACAGAGCATGTGGCTGGGTGCAGTGTAGGTAGTCCTTCACCTGCATACCACTGAGCCATAGGATCCTCCAGACAGGGTGAGAAGAGTATGTTTCACGTCCTGATGTCCTCCTGGGTCCCTTGCAGCTCCAGAGGCACCGGACCGTCCAACCATCTCCATGGCCTCAGAGACATCTGTGTACGTGACCTGGATCCCCCGTGGGAATGGCGGGTTCCCCATCCAGTCTTTCCGCGTGGAGTATAAGAAATTGAAAAAGTTGGGAGACTGGGTCCTGGCCACCAGTGACATTCCTCCCTCTCGCCTCTCTGTGGAAATCCCAGGCCTGGAGAAAGGTAGGCAGGTGCTCTCCTCCCTGCTTCCTGGAGGTCTGTAGGAAGGCTGCATGGTCCCTGTAGGATGGTTAACGATCTGTCACGTCCTGCTCAGCCCTGGCATGTGTGAGCAAAACAAAGCTTCCCTGACTCCTGCCCTAGGTGCATGGGGAAAAAGCTGCAGATGCTTCTCCAATTTCTCCAGCTGCAGAGACCAGCATAGGTTTGACCTCCCTCAGGGAGGCTTAGGCATGTTTTTCTGTATTACAGGATACAGTTACTAAAGGCATTTGCTTTTGCCTTTTACAAGCAGGACAGAACTTTCCTTAGTCACAGGCAAGACAGATGGGCGCACAAATTCCGTTGCACTTCACATGAGAAAAGATTTCATCATGGAGTTGAACAGCTTAAAACGGGAACATAACTACCCCAAACTAAAGATCAGTAAAATGAAGTTTGAGTAAAAATTACGTAGGGTTTGTGTTTTGAACTGATGTTTATGTACTTAATTCCCATGGAGTAGAGGAAGAAGACATTTCCATACCCGCTTTCAGGCCAGGATATCCTATCAGGCATTTCTTAACCCCCTGCACACCTTCCAAAACTACTATCTGACCTTTGGACCATCCAGACAGGAATTGGGGAAGGTAAATAAAAGCAGGCTCCATTTAGAACATGGCTGAAATCTGGCCATTCAGTGTTTGTACTTCCACAGCAAACTTTCTGTAGGCTCTCTGCTTTCTGGAGATGTAGCCTCTCTTCACAGTCAGGGCCATACTGACAGTAGAAATCTTGGAAAACTCCAGTCCCTGCAACCGTTTCATTTCCTATTTTCTCCATAGGCACATCCTATAAATTCCGTGTCCGGGCGCTGAACATCCTGGGAGAGAGCGAGCCCAGCGCAGCGTCTCGGCCGTACGTGGTGTCCGGGTACAGTAACCGCGTCTACGAGCGCCCCGTGGCCGGGCCCTACATCACCTTCACGGATGCCATCAATGAGACCACCATCATGCTCAAGTGGATGGTAAGGCTCCTGGGGGTGGAGAGCGCTGCAGGGGCAAGAACCAGGTGTGTGGGTGCTCCTTGCCCAGCTTACACATCCTCCAGGTTACCACGATGGAGCTTGTCACCAGCACAAATGGATCTGGGATCCAATAGCTGTGTCCGCCAAAGGACTGGCCTTGGGACACATAAAAGGCCAGGAAGTCACAGAGCCTAGGAAACCCTTTCCATCTGAATCCACGTTGTATACAGGAAGATTTCAATGGATAACTGTGGGGTCTTGAACATTTTGTTCAATAAGCACAGTTGAACAATGCATGGGGTGGCTGCTTGCTCCATTAGCACCTCTTCTCTCCTAGTATTCTCCAGCAGATATGTCCTTCGCTCTCATTTGCTGGGTAACAATCCTAAATGTTGATAATCAGCAAATTTACAGCAGACCACTGCAGAGGATTTTTAGGAGTGGGTAGGATCTTTTGGATAACAAGACCGTATCTGAGTGTTTTCAACAGCTTAGAGCTTATTCAGAGGGATGCACTGCTCTCCTCTCCTAGCTGCTTCTAGCCAGAAATTGCCACAAGGCAGGATGGGCACTGCTGTTCATTTAAACTCAAACAGTAGCTGATAAAGCACTGGGTGAAAGACAGCAAGAGCACATGGAGCTGGGACAGTACTGCCCTGGGTGTGGGGGAGGAAGAGAGCTGTCTTCAGAAACACAAAGCTCCTGCAGTGACCAGTTCATGGCTAGACCCAGTTTGTCTGGAAGCCACGAGCCTACTGAAGTCAAGATGATGGTGTGCTTCCTCATGCCCAGCTGAGTCACTGTTGTTCAGGAATTTTTTTCTCTTGAATCACTGTCTGGGGCTGCTGAGAGGGAGCAGAGCACTGGTTGCCTGGAGTGACAAACCCAGATTCACAGCTTGTCTGTTACCTGAGAGAAGCAAAGCTTGACAGTAGCAAGTAGCACTGAGCTTTTGTAGGGAAGCCCTCATTGTGCAAACCAATGGCAACACAAGGAAAGTCCCTCTGCTAAGTTATCTTCCTTCCGTCCCATCCCATTTATCCCAGCTGCTCCTCATCTAGTACAATACAAGCATGGACATCTCTGCTAATTTCTGCTCTCCCTCCCATTCTCTGCAGTACATCCCAGCCAGCAACAACAACACTCCCATCCATGGATTTTACATCTACTACCGCCCCACTGACAGTGACAATGACAGTGACTACAAGAAGGACGTGGTGGAAGGTAGGAGAAATAGAGAGAGTGGGCCCACCACTGGTCCCTGCTGGAAGACAGCACAGCCAAAAAGAGCCCTGTGCACAAAAGGCAGCAGCTGTCCAGGCTGCTTTACCAGGCACTGCTGCAGAGCTGGGCCAACTGCCTGTTCCCTGAGGAAGTTAAGAGCTCCATGTGCTTTTTTCCTCTTCAGGAGATCGGTACTGGCACTCCATCAGCCACCTGCAGCCAGAGACCTCGTATGACATTAAGATGCAGTGCTTCAATGAGGGAGGTGAAAGTGAGTTCAGCAATGTGATGATCTGTGAAACCAAAGGTAAGTGGATTCCCAGGGCAGCTCTGGGAGCACAGCTGCTGCCTTCCCTGCCTGCAGCTGTCAGAACACAGCAGGGCAGGAACCATCCCTGCATGACAGTACATTACCCAAGCTCCAGTGAAGTGGCGGAGGCAGCACTGGAGAGAAGAGAGACACAGGGTTGTCCATGCTGTTGATCAGTGTGCCCAGTCTGTGCTCACCCCTTGGGCAGAGTCCATTGCTGTCCCTCAGAGCAGCAGTTACCTTTTGTTTGCCTATCACATGGGTGGTGACTGGAAGCAGAAGGGCTCACTTTCCCTTGCTGTGCTGAACTCCATGTTGCACTAGAAGCAGGCCCCATATTGTCTTCAAAGCAGCTGCACTTTCATGACGGGAACAGCATTAAGTCCAAGTGTGTGCTTTGGAGAAGCTATTTTGCATTTGCTTTTGCTCGAGCAGTCCACAAGCAGATCTGGCAGAGCCGTGAGCCAAGCACAGAGGCCTAGTCTGTACTGCCATATGCATCAGCCTAGGATTTCTGTCATCCGGCAGTGCTTCTTTCAAGCCACCATAGAAGTCTGGCTGCTCCACAGCAGCATTAACATCCCTGGACTGCTGTGCTATCTGCCGTGGCTCTAACATTCTCTCTTCCTTCCACAGCTCGGAAGTCTCTTGGACTGCCAGGTCGCCTTCCACCCTCCCCAGTGCCCCCTCAGCAGCGTCCCCCACTCAGTGGTGGGCACAGTGGCCTGGGGACAGGAGCCATGGTGGCCCGTTCCAGCGACTTGCCGTACTTGATTGTAGGCGTTGTGCTGGGATCCATTGTCCTTCTCATTGTGGCTTTCATCCCCTTTTGCCTTTGGAGAGCTTGGTCCAAGCAGAGTAAGGGTTGTTTCTTGGGGGCTGATATGGTTTGCCTGTGGATTAAATCTGACCCGGGGTGTAGTTGCATCAAATACCCAAAATGTGAGGGCGTTCTGGGAAGCAGGGAAGGGATGGACAGAGGGCAAGTCTCAGATGTCCCGTGGAACCCATAAAGACAAAGGCCACTGTTTGTTCCTCATCCTGCTTGCCTTGTTGCAAAGGAACCTCTGAGACTAGGGGGAAGGGCTCCTTTTCACCATTTAACTCCAAGAGTGCTTTGGATGCCAAAATAGCTGCCTCATAGGACAGCCTAATCCTATACATGCTGAGCTTCAACAAGCTTGACTTTACCTCGAATTTTTGCTTCAGACTTTCTTTTCCTTCCCTCTGCAGAGCAAACCATTGACATGGGCTTCCCGGGAGCTGGGCTGCTGGTGTCATCCTGCCAGTACACCATGGTGCCTCTGAGAGGCATCTCTGCTCCTCGTACCAATGGACATCCCTTTGCCAATGGGCAGCCCTATGCCAGCAGGGCACATCTGAATGGCATCTGCACCTCTGCAGGAGTGGGGTACGCAAGCACCAAGCCCCGAGATTACAGCCCTGATGAAATGCCACAGGTGAGTCCACACCTGGAATCAAGAGCTGGTTTGTCATGAGCTGGAGGCCACACTTGCAGTAAGAGGGCTTTTCCAGGTGTGGCTGGCACACTTTGCAGCATGTAGAAGTGGCAAGGCTGGCTTCCCAAAAGAGATTTCTCCTTTGTAGTGAAGTCTGAGACATGGGGGGAACAGGAAGGACTCCAAAACACAGATGAAGGGGTGGTTTCTTGGGCCAGGTGCCTCTTAAGGCAGGAGGAGGCAGTGAGAAAAGGCAACTCTTATGGGAGTAGTTCCTGTCCACTGAGCAAAGCTCACAGGGACTGACAGTGCTGAGGACTCTGTCTGTAAAAGGGTAAGAGACAGTGCCAGAGCTGAGACGATAAATTGCTTATCCCCCACTCATTCAGCAGTAAGTGTCAAGTGAGTTTTTCAGTGCTCAGTTTCACTGCCCTCAGTAGCAAAAGAAATAGTTTCAGCTTTTTCTGCCTTCTGCTGTAAGAGCTTCAGCGGTCTGCCCCAGGGCTCTGACTCACAGATCAGCACGTGCCTCTTAATGCTGCTGTGTGCCAGTGCTCTGCTAAGAATCCTTCTCTCCTTCCAGTCACACGAGGAGACCAATGCCTTGCTGCAGGCAGGAGTGCTGCAGAATAGGAGTGCCCAGCAAGACTACCAGCCCTCCAGGTGAGTCCTGGCCTGTGTAGAGAGAGGGTAGAACAATCTACTGGGGGACCCATAAGACTACATCCTCACAGAGGCCTGCCATCAATACACTCCTATCTGTCCCAGCTCTTGAGAAACAAATCCATGCTCCAGCACTAGGACACCTTGGTCTAAATTCTCTTCACACAACTCTTAGGATTTCAGGAAGGAATAATTTAATTGTAGAGGTGGCCAAGACCTACTCCCCTCTGTCCCCTTTTCCTCCTCCTGTTTCTAAGTGGGAGACTGAAAAGCAGGATGAGAGAAGCAAACATCTGTGATTGATGCTGATAAACAGATACCCCAGAATCTTCCCTCACACAAAATGAGTGCTTTGTGTCTCACTGTTCATACATCCTTCATTACCGTGCTCCCTGTGAGGCACTATTCCTCTCAGCTCCTGTGGCATTCACCAGCTGTTGGGTCATGGATACCAGGTCTCACATCACCTCATTCCCATACCACTGGTACATCCCAATTTCTGCTCTTCCCTTCATTTAGGAATGTTCTATGTCACAGCATTGATGAACTGGCTGACACATGAGTTAGATCTTTCAAGGAGGAAAGATCTGTAAAAAACAGCACTAAACCTAACCTCTTTGCCTGCTTCCCCAGATTGCCCAGCTCCAGAACAGAAGACAACTCTTTCCTCTACAGTCTCCCAGATGACTCCACTCATCAGCTTCTTCAGCCACAAGATGATTGTCCTCACCTTCAAGAGCACTTTGTTGGCCTCCACCATCCAGTGATAGGAAGCAAAGTGGGAGGGCCTAGCCTGGATGCTCGACGGGATACCCTCTTCCACCAAGGTCAGTGGTTTGGGAAACTCCATGCCTCCTTCATCTCATCATTTTAGGCTGCTGTTGAGGGGAAATCTCAATGTAGAGCCTTTCTGATGGCTTGTATTCAAGTGATATGAATCCATCTCCCTAGGACCTAATCCATTGATCCACCCCTGTAGTGCAGATCAAACTTGTTTTGTGTGATCATGGCATCGAATTCCCACACAGACTTTCAGAATGCAGATCTTCCTCTTTGATCAGAGTTCCCCTCCTCATAAACTGAACTGTTGACTTGAAACCTCCCACTGCATCTCTCTTTCCAGTGTGCATTGTAATAATTTCTTGCTCCTTTCCCCCTCAGGAAGCCCTTGCTGCTTAGGGCTAGTGCCAGTTGAAGAGGTAGAAAGACTAGACTGCTGCCAGTCCAGAGGAGATCTCCATGCCCAGAATCCGGTGATCACATCTTTGGGTCAGGACCTACCAAGACATCTGAACAGCAGCCCTCCACCACTGAGACCCTTAGAGATTCATCCTCCCACCAGCTAGGGACCAAGCTGCCTTTTGCAAAAGACTTATTCTAAAGAGAAAAAGAGAAAGGGTATTTATTTTTGTATAACACCCCTATTTATATATTTATGCACTTGTATATAGATGTATATGTGCCTTTTATAATGCTATGGAGACAGAAGGCATCCTCAGCAAGGTCACAGGAGGACCCAGGAAACAAGGCAGCAGCTCTCAGTCGCACCATCAGAGCATACAATGGAAACAGCTGGACAAGGGACACTGCAGGACATGGGTCCAAACAGAGCTGCCAGCACCATCTTGCAGTGAGGGTTTCACAACAAATAATGCTGCCCAAAAGGTCTTTTCCTTTCCCCCACAGGAAAAGTTTGTTCCAGGAACATGCTCCTGTGAATGGACTGGAGTTATGCACTCTGCCTAATCAACTTAAACAACCTTTCACATACACGCCATCTGCAGCTGCCTATCTGTAAAGACAAATCCACGCTTTAACATCTAAAATAAAGGCTTTAGTCTTTGCTGTGCCTGGCTCTAAGCTGATTCCTCACACAGAATGAGCCTTTTCTTTTTCACTTGCAGACATACAGCTAGCAGGACATCTGGGGAAAGGTGACATTTTCCTGCAGTCGGAGTTTTCCAAATAGACACTGGCGATGCTGAGTCTGGGGTCTTGTTCCCTGTCTCCAGCTGAGTCTCTAGGTATGTGGCTACCCAGCTGGCACTGTATGTCCTTGCCCTTTGTTAGGCAAGGGATTGGTGCCAGGCAGCCCCTCGCCTGGGGCTCCAGCCATTTCCTACCTGCCAGGGCACAACCTGCAGCTGCACAAGAGCTCCCAGCACCAGGTGTATTCCTCAGCAGGGACCACCTGTAAGGGTAGGCTGCATGAACACCATTCACACACTTGTGCTGGGGCCAGCAGGAAGCTCTTGTGCCTGGCTGGGATATGGCTGGAGGCCTGCTGAGTGTACACCAGACAGAGACACAAAGACCTGTGGCAAGAGGTGGGAAATGGGGAGGAATAGCGAGAGCAGCTGGAGGTTTTTTAATTTATTCAATTAAAAATTAGCATCTCAGGAGCCTTGCATGGGAAGAACACAACCCCTCCAGCCTGGAGATGAAGGAAAGTTTCACGATCAGGCAGGGTAAGTGCTGTAAATGATCACATACTGCCGCCACCAAATGAGAGAGGCAAAAAAGAGCAATACAGAGCTTGGCCCTCTGACAGATCAAGGCAGCTGCAAGCCAGTGGAATTACGGGCTGACTTTCCCTTGTTACACCCTCCTCCTGCCAGTAAATGCTATGTCTTTCCCTGAGGAGAAAGGCCCCTTTGCTTTCTCCTGGCCAGTAGTGTGTCCCTGGACTCTAACTAGCTCAGTTAGCAGAGCAGGGCCACTGCTGCTCAACAGTAACAAATGCTTGCTTGAGGCAGACTTCTTTTACCATTTTTGAGAATAAATATTTGCCCCAAGGAAACTTCAAATCAGCTTCCCACAGCTACTTGTTTGAAGATAGACACAGACATAATCCGCACACATGGACACACACAGCGCACCTTGTCCAGTGCAACCCTCTGCAATGAACTGATAACAGTATTTAGTAGTTTTATTTGCTATTTTTTATTCCAAATATATTGTTACAGTCATATTTTGATAGAAAAAACACATAAAACTCTTTACAACTAAACCCCTGGATAGCCAAAACAATTAATTTTGCACTTCCAGGCATGACTGCTGCCACAGTTAACTTTAAGGGTGACTTGGATTGTTAGTTACTATTTCTGAACAGGGAGTTTGAATCTCAGAGTCTTGTGCTAAAGCTTGTAGAAAGAGGCACCCACCTTTTCTGCTAAGTAAAGCAAGTTCTTTTACATCTCATCTACTCTGCCCTGGCTGATTTCCTCTCTCAGAAGGGCCACCTCACAAGTCATGTGCATGAGCCGTGACTCCAGCCGGGCTGTCTCTTTGATGTCAGCACTTCGGGTGCCCTCAAATTCTCCGCCCTGTAGATAAAAAAAAAAAAATGGAGAGGAAAAAAATGGCTCCTAGAAAACATGGAGAATGAACAGTGGAAATTTATTTCAAATAGGGAAAGTGAAGCTTGCCAAGAACCAGGACATACCCATAACTTTTCCCCACCTTAGTCAGAACTATGTGAAAGACTGAAGGTTTACTAACTTACACTTACTCCCTGGTACAGAGCAATAAATCCACTTCTCATTGTAATACTGTTACATGATTGTAATATGACTGTTTCCATGTAACAAAGGAATATTCTTTTAATTCCTTCAAGACATATTTTAATTAGAAATTAGTTTGTTTCAGTCTTAGAAAGCAGCAAAGTAAGAAATTGCAGAGAAGGTAAGGTATGGAGCAGCCATTCAGCCTGCCCCACTCCTAGCCCAAACTGCTGACTGCAGAGCAGGATGTGAGACCAGGGAGCTGGGGAGGGCCAGATGATCACTTCCCCATTTCTGAACAGTCCCAAACCTGCAAGCACTGCAGTGGCTACAAGGCTCACCTGACCAGTTGTCAGTGATTCCAGCTCAGTTTCAAGCTGATGCTTTTCATGGCAAAACCTGTTCAGCTGGTGCAGCTTGCTGGTGTTTTCCCTTGTCAGCTTCGTTAGCTGATGCTGCAGGACTACAATTCTTTCCTAGAAAGATGTAAAAAGTTGATCTGGGATGAGAGAGGACAAAAAGTGTGGAGTGGGGAAGGGACAATGTAAATGTCATAGGTAAACAACAGACTGATCCTGCCACACCACCTGGCAGGATCTGATGCACAGTACCTTTAGTGCAGTGTCATCTTTTTGTTTTTAATATATCTAAATACAAATGCCTAAGTAAAGCAGTTAGGCAAAAGTGTGAGAAAAAGAAAGTTATTAGGTACACAGTATTTCTGTACCCTCCTGTGCCCTTCTGTAAAGGCAGCAAGTGTGTTGCCTGCTTGCAGCACAGCAGCTACCACAAAAAGAAGACATGAACTTTTCAGACTGCACAGATTGGCACCCCAGGCATGAGCCAGAGCCTGCCCTGTACTCAAAGTCTCTCACCAAAGGCACTAAGAGAAGGCAGGAGGTGCTGAATGCCACCTGCGAACCAGAGAAAAGCACTCTGCAAGAGCTTCATGTAGAGAATGAAGTAGGACAATGTGTTTGAGGAAAGCAAAACAGAGAGATCGACTACCTCCATGAAAAATAGGATGTGCACCAGCAACTGGAGCAGAGGTAGCAATGATGATGGGAAATTGGAGTTGAACACTATGGTCTATTAAGGACAAGTGAAAAAAAATCAAATATGAGCAAGTTGACAAAAGATTTTAGTGTAACTTTTCAGTCCCCAGGAAAACAAAGCATTAACAGATCATCACATCACATGTGTCTTCCTCCTCTTCCTGCTGCTTACCTCCCATTCTTTGAGCTCCACGAAATGCTCATACTCTTTCTCCATTATTCTCACTTTCATCTGCTCCATAGGTATATTAACAGAGTGTACTTGAACTGCTTCAAAATCAACCAGCCGACCAAACTTCTCCATCATCAGATTATTGCACCTCTCCTCCAGTCCTAACAGAGGGACATTGGCACAAATGGCAGCACTGTCATTCATTGGTTTATAAGAATTTCTGCCTTATCTCAGCTTTTTGTCTGAGCCCTTTGGTATTTGCTCTGTAATAAATAATTCACACAAAACCACATAGAGCTCACAGCTGAGTCATGCCATTTGTCCTTGCCCATGATGATGCCTGTGTGGTCACAAAGCCAGTCCTAGTAAACCACTCCCACACCACAGGCTGTATAGGGCCTTTGCAGGTCTGGGGTGCTAGACACAACTTTGGGTTTGCCTCTTGGGAAACTGTTTTGAATAGGCCTTGTTTCCTTCTTCAGATGTTCCAAAGGGGAGGAAATTACCAGAAAAAGCTTATGTATCTTTGGAGAAACTACTTTTATCCTAGGAGTTCTGGTTTACAAGCAGAAATAGCAAACGTGTCCGGACTTCCAGTGTCTCATCCTAGTCAGCTCTAGTTATACTAAGCTCCCAAATTCGCACAGCCTGATGACTCTGCAATGCTGGAGAACCACTACTCCATCAAAACAGTCTACTTGATCTGTTCTATTTTCTGCAATTGCCCTCTGTGACATCCGTGCAAGTATAGAGCCAGATGCGGTGAGTTACCCACAGCGAGTGAGAGGGACAGAAGGAACATTAGCAATGCTGTATTGTTCAGAGTCTTTGTTACTCACCTTGAATCTCCATCTCCATCTCCTTTTTGTCCTGGAGAAGCTGCTTATGTTGCTCCTTGGCCTTCTTATGGATCTCTCTTTGCATTATCTTTTCATTACGTAGGTCCACAATTCTCTTTTGCAGGTACTGCAAGGACTGATTGGTAAATACTAAAGCCTGGGAAAAGTCACGGGGCATCTCCCCATCAACCAAGCACTGCACCTGCAAAAGCAGCCAGAAATAAGCAAGGCTGGCTTTTTTTATTAAGGGCGATGGAGATGTCTCTTTATATAAAATGTGTGAGCAATAGAGTTAGTGAGTGAGGTGGGCATGGGCACAACTCTTTTTTTAGGCCAGGGAATTGTGTGAATGAATGCATTGTACCCAATCTGGCATTATTGAACCAGGCAGAATTCCCATTAATTTCAAACTCTTTGGGGATTTTTTGATTTGTTTTTCTGGGGAGGTGTTTCATTTTTTTTTCCCCCAGGAGAATATCAGTAGGTATGGACCTGAAAGAGAATACCATGCCAAACCTATACAGCACTTGAAGACTATGCACATTTCAGCTATAGGCCAGCCTGCCTGTCCTTACCTCATTTCTGTCAGTACAGGAGAAGGGAAAAAAGGGGAATTCTAGAGGAAATAGCAGCATGAAGTTCAGTTAATGGCACTTCCTTCCCAGGAGACCATAGTGAATCAGGAACTAAGAGCCCCAAAGAACAGTAACACCGTTGTTTAGTTGTACACAGGCTACTCTGCACATGCGGATGCACAGCATCTTGAATTACCTGATGGAGTCTCAAAGGCACAACTACATCCAGCTCATTCAGTTTGTGCAGCTTTTCCCACTGAAAGGCCTCCAGTTCCCTGTTTGTTCTGTCCAGACTGGTTTCTATTTCTTTTGCCTGCAGAAAGACAAATTGTGGACAAACAAAATCCTGTGATACTTAGAATACACAAGGCAACAAGGTTCTGTAAGAGTTCCTGATCCAAAGGGGAAAAAGTATATAAAAATGTGCTTTTTTAAACTACATATAATAGGCAAGTTTCATAGGCAAACCCAAGGATTATCTACATATATTCAAGCAAAATTCTAACCTGAATACCTCTGCACACGTGTACACTTGCGAATGTCTCCTTAGAGCTGCCCTGTATGTATCAAGAGACAGCTGCTTTGTTTAGCATCTAAAACACTTGTACATGTACAGAGCCTGCAAGATAATTTTTATTGTGTTATGCCTGGAAATGCTTAT